TAGGTCGGTGCTAACTAAGAAAGTGTTTTATTAAGTGATTTCATGCCGTTTAATACGTAATAAATGTAGATGAGTAATGCAGATTGTTTTCTGTGTTAATTATGTGTCACTCGGCTGGTTATCCCTAGTGGCTTGTGCTCCTTTCCTATACGCAATAACTTACACACCAGTGACAGCGAGAATAGTAAGCAGGTGTCTTCACTCTTCTTACCTCATTATTTTCTTTATTTCCGGTGAATATACTCCACAGAGCACGGTTAGTTATTACTATGCTGTCGATGTTGAATGTGAAATAAAGATATTGTTTTTTATTGTTTTGTAAAAGAGTTGAAACTAATGGCTTTTAAGATAACGATGGAAGCTAATGGAGATTTAGCAACACGCCATAGATTCATACTTATGTTTAACATGCTAAGCTAACTCATTATTGTAAGGTTATTGTTGGCAATCCTGGAATAACCAACAATCAGTCAATAATATGCAATTAAATATGCCATAGATTAGGAGAACATTCATATGGAAGCTCAATATATGAGCTAATGATGTTTACCCATTATTTGGCCCCAAGGAGGGGGTGTCAGGCCATGCTGTCATAAATCTTCAGAGCCCCACAATAAGCAACGTCATTTTCCAGACCTAACCTGCCCTTTACACAAAGTGTCCCTGAACCCTATCCTCACCCAAGCAAAGAGCAGATATGTGGCTTGTTTATATATAGTTTAGTTTTTCAATTATGGTTTTTGTTTTCACTGCCAGACTTTATTTTTCAGTGCCAAAGACTAAAGTCATTTATTTGCTGCCATAGAGTAGGCTACGTTAGCAGCATGGCTAACCAAAACACAACAGAAACTCATGGGCTGAAGGTGTGAATGAAGCCACTCACACTGACTCACCACAATGTGGCCATATCTTACCTGCCTACAACACTTCCTTTGCAACCCCTCACCCCCAACCAATCTAGCTCCATGCGTTAAAGAACAACAGGGTGTTGGGTTTTTGCCGGACTAATGTGAATGCATTGTCACACCCTGTCATACTGGGCTTCTTGTGTAATGTGCTGATATCATGAGAGAGCTTTTTCCTCGACAAGAAATATCATCACATTTTAATATTGTGAGACCTTGTGGCATGAGATCTCATCACACCCCTAGTCGATGTGATTTTTGTTGTACATGATTGTACTTGTGGTCAGGGTTTGTACTGCTTGCTGCTAAGAAATTGCCCTTTGGGGATAATAAAATTACCTCTGAACCTTTGAATAACTGCCACTAATAACAAATAGTCATCTGATTAAATGATAGCCTTAGTGACCGACAATGTGCAGTGTGTATGCATGGAGGATGAGCTGGGGTTTCAAATTGAATTAAGGAGGCATTCAGTCAAAAACGATTGAGAACCACTGCTGTAAAATATAAATGGATGAACTATAAAATTTAAGAAAGATTATTATGGATGTAGAAGGAAAGGTTCAGATTAAAGAGAAAACGAGATGCTTCCTGTTGTGTACATTCTCATAAGCACTTTGAATTGCCTTTGTGTGTGAAAATGTGCTATATAAATAAACTTGCCTTCCCTTTACGAAAGACAACCAGCATCTCCTGTCATGTTTTTCCTGTATATAACAGAACACATAATCTGTTCACAGTGCTGTTCAAATGCACATTTGTGCCTGTTTACAATCTTATGTCCTGCCTTACAATGTCTTGCACTGGGACCTGTTATAGCCCATGGCCTTCACTGATTACCACTTAAACAGCAGATGTTGCTGCAGTCAAACGGTAGTGCATTTTCCCCAACACTGCCCTCATTCTTTAGATTTTCCATTTCTAAGTACAATTTAACTCTGGTTCTTTTGAAGGGAAGGAGGTCTGATTCCTGCTCTTTCTTCTGTTTTGCACACTTTGATTTCACATAGGTTCCACACTCTACTGGTGAATCCGAGGGGAAACCAGATGACTCCACGGCCCGCCAAGACAAGATCATACCAACATGTTGCCACACAAAGATCTGGGCCTCATTTCCTGATAACAGGTGCCCTGAGAGGTAAATTGCTTTTAGGGGGTTATTCATTATCTGACTGCATTACTCACAACAGCAGTTAGTGAGGCTATGCACAACATAATTAAGTGTATCTTAATTAGTGCTGCTCTAGCTCCCTCTGAAAGGTGCTGGAATGCTTGCTTTCAAAATTTAATTGTATGTAAATTTTTATATTATGGAAACACATTGCACAATAAAACAATGACAATAGTTTCAATAGAAACTACATTATGTAAAACATCAAAATGATATCTTACAGTACAACATACATATATTGGTGGAGTATGTGTTAATAACAAACTTGCCCTCTAGCAAAAAACATAAAACCTTCGCATATAGGTATGATGACATCATTAGTTCTCTGACTAACTGTTAGCTTCAGCTACATATTCATTAGGTGTTGCTGTCATGGTGAGGACACCACCAAGGGACTCAGAGGAGGATGACGAGAGGACAACTATTACATATTATGTTGCGGTTTTCATAAGTGTGAAGCTGTATGTTTTCCTACCAGATTGTTTACATTAAATTGCTGTTTCCAAACCTTCCCAGCATTTAATCCTAGCACAGAAATTGCTTCATTTTTGGCTAGAATACTGTATGATCAACTCCAGAGGTAATTATTCTGAAATCCCATTCACTATTATCATAAAATGGCATAAAATATCAAATCTGAGTAAAGTTAGATCAGTAGGGGGTGACACTACATTACACCTCTCAGACAGTTTGAGAACAGCAACACATTTTCACCTCCTCTCTGAGCTTGTTTGGGTGCAAAAAGGAGTGAGGTCTAATGCTTAAAACAACTACTTCTGTCATACTTACCAGCTTTCCTCAGAGAGTGTTTGTTTTTACAGTGTTTCTACATGGTTTCACAGGAACGAGTCTGAATTTTTATCTCTATATCTCAGGGTACAGTTAGCAGTTCATCTATGAATATTCATATTCACACTTAACATATCATAAAAAAATACACACACCGATGCAAAGACATCCACACATGAGAGTGCTGAACATGAATTGTGGAAACTTACTCATAAACAGTTTTCTCTGTGTGTCTCATTCAGATGGTGCAGATGTCTGAAAACATAATTTCACAGCTCATGGGGTTTTATTTTAACGTGGCTCTGGTGCTACCTCATATGTCATGGCTCTCACTGATTTCATTTCAAAACAGTCTTTTGTGCTCCCATACTATTAGTCCAGTCTCCAGTTGTCTGTATTGTTTTATCTAGCCAGTGAAATGTGCACGTGATGATGAATATGTGTGTAAGCAGCTTATTCATCAGATCAGCAAATAGGCCTGTTGTTGTGTTGTATTACTGGGCTTTGTGTTAGAGTGAAACATTCCCATAAATTGCTGTGCTTTTGTGTGCTTGTGTTTTAAAAAAAGTAGTGATATAAAGGAGATGAAGAGAGATAGAGCAAGGGAGAGAGAGCAATGAAGGTCAAAGCCTGTCATGGCTGCAGGTGGCTGGTTTCCCCTCTCCCGCCCTGCAGTAACCCAGAGAGCGACATGGCGGGGTGCAAACCTCCAGGATGGATCTCTGAGATTAAAGTGCCCCGATCGTTGCTCTCACATCACATCCCCTACCATCGGGGGGAAATTCATTTACTCACACAGACAGACGGGGTAACTGAGAGCGCGGGGGTGAACTGACAGAAAATGGAAAGCAAAAGCCTGTCTGGAGGCTTTGTAGGACCTGAAAGCAGCTGAACTCTCTGAGGGCCTGTGGTTCGGTATAGAGATTACATACCGAAGGGAGACACACAGCACCGAATAAGCTGTATGTATATTGAATTTTTAGAGAAACAATATCACTATAACCCAGATACTGTTTACCTGAGAAAATAAAACCAACAAATGATAATGCTGAAAGCATCAAAGTGGCCCTTTATGTATTATCGCTTATCTGCACAGTCGGAGCTTTACATTTCAAATGGAGACAGATACAATTCAAACAACCAACACACAGCCTATACGCTTACAGCTGGGTTACCTGTTTTGAGCCGCAAAGTACTGTTATATAACATATTGTATAATAATCATAGTTTTTTAAAGTCGTGGTATAATCAGATCACCAGAGACACAAAAATAGTCCCACACGTTTCCTGGTTGCTGATCAAACATGAACCACACAAGTGTATGGGGAGGTGTGAGGTCAATACAGTCAGCTCTCTATCAGTCATGAATTAGAGGGTTAACCAGTATACCTAGATGTGCGCCAGTTCAACCACGATCAGTGCCCAAACGGGTTAAGAGAGAAAAGTCTCAGTGTTGAAAAATCCTGTCTGCATGGTGAAACATCACACATGAGGTCCTAGCAGGGGGAGAGTACAATAAGCACCACTGGCAGGCCTCTGCAGTCACCATCCGTCAGTATCATTGTTGTGGCTGTTGTGGTTAATAATGTTAGTGTCCAGGAAAAGTCCTACATAGCATAAAGCAACCACACAACCTGGCAGCACTTGTGGGTCTGCAGGTCAACTGGACCAGATATGAGCACCAGCCTCGGTAAACTTTCAAGAGATTTCAAGACCAAGACACTACTTCAGAGATTTTCTACACTGATGTTCTGATGAATGGACCCAAGTGAAAAACAAATAGTAAAATTTATAACTATTGTAAATGTAAATTCAACAACATTTTCACCAACCCACACACTGTATAATATGTGAATATGCATAAAAATGTCTTGTTATTACACAGTTTACTGTATATTAGTTGAAACAAAATAATGAAATTAAGTAAAAACAATATCTAACAATTCTATACAGACTCATATATATTTAGTCTACAAGCAAAGTCAATATATTGTCTCCAAGTTTAGATATTATTGTTTTTATTATTATTATTATTAGTTTAGATATGAACTAAAAACTCCTTTTGGAGCACCACATTCAAACAGCTGATATCTGCTTTGGGTGGAAAATGAGGAAAGTTATAATTTCCCTAAATATCACATGTTTATCTGCCTGTGAAAGTTGTTTTTGTTGAAAAAGGTTAACTGTAATGTGTTCTAGTTTCATGATGTCACAGAATTCCGGAACACACAACAGTTGGTATATTTCAGTTAGAGAAGTACTTGGTTTACACTAACCCAAGTTTGCTTTTTATAAAACTGCGTACTAACTACTGCAAAAATGTTTTGCTTCCCACGAAAAAAGGTAAATACTTGATTTCCTTTTGTCTAACTGTTCATTGGACCTTGTGCTTTGAGAAAACTGGCATATGTTTTTACAATCTTCATGTTTTCTGGTTAAATTTCTCTGTGAAGCATCTGTTGTGTAATCATATATCATTTTATATATTGTTAACAGAAAAAACATCAATTTGATGTGGAAGTTGCAGACCAGAAGCTTTTCAGCAAACATAAGAGGTAAACTACTTTACTTGGCTTATTATTATATTTTCTATACTGTTTTATCCAATTTGTAAGGGTACATAGGTACACACTCACTTTTTAGGCAAAGCAGGCAGGTTTATTTATATATATTGGCACATTTTCATACACAAAAGCAATTCAAAGTTCGTAACACAATGCACACAAATAAATACAGCAAAATGCATACATTGATAAAACACTGGAATGCAAATTAGACTAACTGTAGAACTGAATTGCCCTTTGGGAAAAATAAAGTTGTCCTGAATCCTGAATTCTGAAGATCAAAATATCAAATGCAACTTAAAATCAGCAATTACATGACAACACATTGTAGCAGGTGTAGATGCCCGGTACTTTTAGGATAGCTGTGGCAGGCTGTGGATTCTAAATATTTGTCTGGGGATTGACATTAGGGGCATTTTGACAAGAGCAGACAACTGAATAATCATCTGCCTTTTCTGTTTATTACCAGCATCAATGTAAAGGCTGACCCAAAACAAAAAAGTGTGGTCCCAGAGACCTTGGCCACTTCTGCCACCGCAGTTTCAACTCCAGTCAAGGCTTCACGGGAAAAATCAAAGAAGGTTTCCTGGTGGCGTAGGTGGTTTTGTCGTAAGAAGGTACATCTAAGATAGTCTACTACTGTGCATAATAAGTACTTTGTCTCAGCTAAGTTTAACTGGGTTTATATATTTGTAACCAACAGAAACCCAAGAATAAGACTCCAGTGAAAGAAGATGTGGCAGAAAATGGGAACCTTCCAACATCCTCTGCCACGAAAGACATGTATGAGATTCCTAATTTCTGCTGTTTTCATTAGTTGAAGACAAACTGATGTTCAGTTTATGCTGTTCAACCCATAGACTGTGACTAGATCATGCAGTAGAATAACGTCTGTGTTTGCCTTTTTCACCAGTGTTCGTGCCATTGAGGAGCCAGAGGGTGGTGAAACTGGTGTCCAGAGGGCTTCACCCACCCTTGACCCTCCAGTCTCAGCTGAGCTACATTTTGATGATAAAAATGTGACAGAAGACACAAACCAGTCATCTTCTCTCATGGAAGAGATGTATGAGATTGCTATTTTAATTATTAGAAGACATTATATCAGTGTTTCATTTATGTTAGTCACCCACTTGATTTCACTACAGTCACCAAAACATGCAGTAGAATAACATCTGTGTTTGCCTTTTTCACCAGTGTCATCACAGACAAAGAGTCTGAAGGAAAACCTGTCCAGGAGGCTTCATCTGCCACTGACCCTCCAGCCTCAGTTGCACCTGAGACTGGAAAGATAAAGAAGAGTAGGCCACCTCGGTGTCATATGGTATGTTCCACAGAGCTGAGTGTTGCTAGTACTACCAGCTGTGACCATGTTATGTGAATATTAGCATCATGCTTAAATACTCGCTATGCAACTTATTTCTGCTGAATTTAACAGTTTCTGTACTTATTTTTAAAAGGAAAAGGAGTCTCCAGCTGAGACAAATGAAGGAGTCCCAGCACTGGAGACAGCTGAGGGCGACTCAGATGATAAGTTGACCCAAGTTCAAGAAGATGCAAAGTCCTACTCAAATGACACCAGCGGGAAAAAAGAAATGAACTATGAACTTGCTGCTAAACTCATATACAGGCAGTTTAACCCATCAGGGTATGGTGGGTGTCTACAGGCAGAATCAAAAAACATCAGCCCACAGACAAACACATACAAACACTCTAAAAATCAGTTTGCCTCATCCAGCAAGAAAAACCTCTCCAAAGCAGATCTGGCCTGCCTTGGGTAAGCCCTGGCATAGAGACACACACTGAATGCTTCTATATTTCAGGTTTAGTTTGGCATAATTTCTCAAATACAGCTGATACATGTACTCTCATGCACTCCTCATTTTGTTGTGTTTAAGGTTTCCCAACCTCGCACAGACCTGCTACATGAACTCTACTCTGCAAGGCCTTCTAACTCTGAAACATTTCGTTCATGAGTTCAACAGCCAGAAGACTGTGTGGAACACTAACGCTAAATGTCAGATCATCAGGTACAGCACTGCACACACACTAACACAGGCGGTAGCACTGTTTGGTTTGTCCACTAACTTTATAGATCAATAGGAAGTAACAAACCTAAAACAACTTCCTTTCCAGATGCCTTGTGGAGCTCGAAGCCTGCCGCACCTCCAACAGTATGTCAAGGAGGAAACAACTTCTGGCCGCCTTTAAACAGAGTGTCGCTGAGTTTAACTCTGAGTTTGACGATGACGGTCAGCAAGTAAGTGTGCTTTTTATTCACAATACACAGCACAGTAACACGCTGATGTTCTTAAAATTTGTTTTTGTAAAAAAAAAAATCCACCTTCTGAAACCGGTTTTGTCTGGATGTTTCTGTGCAGGATGCCCATGAGTTCCTCATCTGTGTGCTGGACAAGATGAGATCTCTGTCGCTTGAGCTGCAGGAAGAAGCATGCAGCATGGGCTTCAGTTACACCTGCCCTGTAAATGCTCACATTGCCTTCCAGATGTTGAATACAATGACGTGCAGACGGTAAGAATACACAACGGGTGTTGAGATTCCCTGTGATGACCACATAACTATTTCCCTACTCATCTGTGGTATAAAGCCTCTTATTCAGGATGTGTTATCATGAAATCTCTGGCTCTTGTTTCTTTGTTCTGCAGATGTGGAGTCCAGTCTACCAGAGAGGAGGACTACACTGCCCTCTCCCTGGACCTGGTGCCTGGAAGCTCAGTGTGGCAGTGTCTGCAGCAATACCTGAAAGTAAGAGTCAATCAAAACACTGGATCCTCACACTGTCAGTCAAAACACGGTTTGTGTCTCGTTCATGAAAAAAATGTGAAGTGAAACCTGTTTCTTATTCCTGTCCCTTGCTTGTAGGGGAGCTACTTGGAGTATCACTGTGAGTGTGGAGCTAAGGAGTCATCACAGCAATGGTCATTCTTGACACTGCCAAAGTGAGTAAGGAGAACCTGACTGGCAGTTTCTTTTACTTAATGTCCTCCTATTTCAGCTTGTGATCTGACCAGCTCTCCTTCATCTCTTTTCTGTCAACAGTGTGCTGATCCTCCACCTGAAAAGGCTGAGGTTCACTCCGTCCTTCGAAGTGGAGAAGGTGGTTAGCCCTATCATTCTATCCAGGGAACTTGTGGTACATTCTGAGCCCAGCAGCACCCAACAGGTAAAGATGAGCATTGTTAAAGCCATGTAACCATGTTTGCTTTGCCTTGTATGAGTTTTTTGGACACAAACTGGTCTTAGAACAAAATGTTAAAGAAAAAAATAGAAATTAAGCTGTCTGTGCTCTTTTCTAGACAATGTCTCGCTACTCTCTGGTGAGCGTCATCAGCCATTTGGGCTACACAGCACACTCCGGTAAGTGTTTGGTCGTGTTTTGGCAGCCACACATGCTGACTATAAGTCAGACATCAAGGTTTGTGAAGCCACTGCCTCTTCAGCTGTACCAATAATAAATGTGTCCTCTGCTCACAGGCCACTACATCTGTGACGGTGCTTACCCAGAGGAACCTGGTGACGTGACAGACCGCTGGCTGACATACAACGACAAGCACGTCAGCAAGACGACAGGAGCCTCAGTCTGTTACCAGCGGCAGAAAACAGCATGCCTGCTGTTCTATGAGAAACAGGTACCAGAAAAGCTCTATACAGCACAGGTTTTCCAAATAAGCAATATATCATTATATAAAAAACCCTAACAATGTGCTAACATTTATTGTTTGCCTTTTAAGCTCTAGAAGAATCTCATGGCTAGGAGAAAGACCTGAAGCACAAGAAGCAATACACAAAAACAGCAAGGACCCACATTATCAATATATAAAATACTTAATAAAACTTTTATTGACCTGGTGCCCATAGGTTCTTTAGTCTCCTGGAACACAACAGAGCATTGCAGGGTTATTCAAAAACAAAATGCAGGTTTGGAGATGTGATCATGAAAGTTTCTTCTTCCTCTCAGCAGTTCATGTTCATTTTAATATTGAAATAGTGTTGTAGTTTATCAGTTGAGTGAAAGAATGAATGAAGAAATGCATATAGCCTAATGGTCTACTGCCTCTTACAAGTGGGGGCAGAATCTCAGAAATGCATCAGTGATAGAGAAATGCTCTCAGTGGCTCCATCAGAGCTACAGGGTGTGCAGTGCTCATTTTCACCTAGCACGTTCAAGAGGCTAACAAGTGTGTAGGCCTATATGGTGTACTAAACAGATATCACAATAAAATTGAAAATCCTTTTAGAAAAATCAGAAAGCTGCCTAATAAACAAACAATCTAATTAACTATGCATAGGTCTCAGGCCACTATTAGTTTAGGTGTTTTAGCAAGGTTGTAATGATAATTTATATTTATTTCTCAGTCTCTTTATTAAGATATAACCAGAATATACAGGAAATATGTACACAATATTAAAAAAAAACTTCTGAACAAAATGGTTTCTACAGCCCAAAGTCAGTGTGACTGACAGATATAATAATAGATAAAAAGATACTACTACTAATAATCTTTTTCATAAGATAGAAAAATTCTATTTTATATAGATTTCAGGGGCTCCATAGTTTTCATTGTTTGTTGTAAAAAAAACTATTCATAAATAAATAATGAATGTATTAGTGCCTTAGTGCATTAGTACAAAGTGGTAAACATGGCAATACAGTAAACTGGTCTGAAAAGCAAATTGCAGCAAGAAGTAGGCACGGCCACTTGTCATCAGCTCGTCATCAGGCTTTTGACCAGATGGCTGTGAACATCTCCACCGAATGATTCCCAAAGCCTTATAGACTGCACTTAAAGTAGTACTGCCTCCAACGAAGTGCAGTCCACTGGAAACCGAGCAGGAGGAGTCGCACTTTACTACTTCGTGTAGTTGCCTATTAATTATTACTGAAGACTAGAACTTCCATGCATTCACAAATTTTTTTAATGTTATCATGAATTCACGTGCTTAATATCAAGTGTAATTACTATGTCAGGATCCACTGTGAATATTTATTTATGTATTTATAATACTTTTAGCAAAATTAAGGCCGGGGTGTAGGAGTACAAATGACCCTACGACTAAGTCCTTCCTTAATTTAAGCAGCTGTCACACTTGCTCATAGTTGTTAAAATGTCAGTTCAGACTTGTGTATCTTTGTGTTAGATCATACATTGCTGCACTAAACACAAAGGTCCAGATTATAGTAGGTTCAAATGATATAGTAAATATCTTGTTTGCCACTTGTGCCTAATAAACAGTTTCACATTATCAGCCAGCTTGCTTGCCTGCATGTGTCTGCATTTGGAAACTCTGCCTCTGTCTTGTATGTTTTAATACATGAACTGTTATATGTTGGCAAGACCTGGGCATCTTGTTTATACACCCTGGGATCCGTACATCATATTGTTTCCAATAACACATCAAATCAAAGTACAAAATGTCTCAGCAATATAGTTTGTATTCATTACTTTCATTCATATCTTACTTCAGAATAGAGTTATAGGCAGTTAAAGAGTTAGTGTGCACTTGTGATAATTTGCCCCATTAGTGGGCAAGTTGTCACAGTATGTGAGGTAAAATGTCACTCTGGGTACTGCAAGAAACTGCAACACCTGCAACGTTTCAAACTGTGCAGTTTCAATAAATCATTAAAACTTTGCTGTTGAATTTAAAACTGCTCCCAACTACAACAATCTTTACAACATCCTTGAGGCTTGATTACATTACAGGGTACCCTTATTTATTTACCATTATTAACTGTTATTAACTGATTATATTGTTTTATTTCATAACATTTTATAGCAGTAGCTGACACAAACAATACCCGAGTAATATACAAGATTTATATACACTGGTCAGGTTCTCACTTGTGACAATTTGCTCCATGCTGCCATGTTGGCTAAGGCTTGCTATATCTTATGTTTGCTTAACACAGGAAATTAGAAAAAGATATTAAAACACACTACAATCTCTCCTCTGCAAAGTAGAAACATATATTATCTTTAACATTTTTTATTAGAAGAAGAAAATGACAAAATGTAATGTCAACTTTTTTACTTTTCAGTGTGAAAAACAGTGAATGTGTATTCATGTCAGCCTATAGCGTTGCTGGCCTCTCCCAGACAGGATATTGGATCAGCCCACGTAGATGCATAAAATCTATATTCAACTTTTAGGCAGCACCCTATGGTCTTGGAAATAAAAGCAGTGTGGCAAATTATCTGTGTAACATTTTGCTCTGCTCTCCCATTTTATTTGATGCTTAAAGCTACAGTATGTAACTTTTTCAAGTATTTCATTTGTAGAAATCTGCTCCAAAACTTGTCTTAATGAGGAGAGGTGCTGTTGAAGCCTCCTGTGACCCAGACTCACTGAATAGCACTGGCAGCAGTGCAGAGATATTATCTTCTAAAAGGTTTTAAGTGGGACTGACCTCTTTAACCAATCAGAGATTTTCAACTATTTCTGCTTGATCAGTAAGTTTTGCTGCATTTTCATTTCTTATAATTTCATAACAAATATCTGAAGAGCTGGGCAGAGCGTGACAGAGTGTAGCAGACTGTAGTGGAGCATAGTGGAGCAGGGAGAGGGAGCACTGGGTGGAGCAAAGTGGATTGAGTTGGAGTTTCATGCTAGTGCACACTGTAGCTTTAAGTGAAGTGTGGTAGTGTCACTTCAAAATACAATCCCTCTGCACTGATTCCACAGACATTCTCCCAGCAGCTATCAACAAAATTTGTGAATTGGTTTTATTGTTTCTGTTTGATGATATTCCTGAAAAAAAAAAGCATTCGTTTATGTTTATGTAAAGTTTATGCTTCGTACACATAGGCTCAAGATGTTTAAGCATGTTTTTTCCTTTCCAATGCCACTTCATATTCAAATATACAATAGAATCATTGCCTTTGACTGACCTGTGCACACCTGTCAGTAGCCAGTGCTGCTATGAGGCCATTAAATCAGGAGAAGCAACATGCTGAGTTAGACGAGGGACTCAGTGAAGATATCATTCCTGGCTGCAGCTGTGGATAAGTAAATTATTTTTTAAGGGATCGTCAGGCAGTAGCGCCTGTCCCAGTGCTCTGCTCAGCACTGGATGGCGGTAGAAGTTCACTTTGAATGGTTCTAACCTTTCTGAGCTCTTCTTTCAGTGCTGCATCTTCCTGTAATCTGCTGACCGTTCATCTCAAACCTTTCCGTTTTTGCTTACAAGAGGCTCTCCACACTACAACTCCCTGTCTGCGTGAGCTCCCTTCAGGCCAGTTTCTGAGACATGGGGAAAGAGAACACATGCTTGCTCAGACAGGGTTTGGAGCATGAGCTGATTTATGAAGCTAAGGCATATGGCATTTCCACATGCTGTTTATGGAGCCGTGTCTCACAATACATGTGCAACTTATATTATTTTGGGATATTAGGTTCCAGATGGACTTTGTGAAAGCACAATGCAATTTCATTACATGCTCAAAAGAAACTTTGCTGTGAAATGATTTGGCTCTGTTGTGATTGACTGTTAACATGACTAAGGGTTTGTTCTGTGCATCCTGCTTTTAATGAAATACTGGACATATTTAAACGATGCTAGATGAATAAAGAATCTATGAATTCTCCCAGCATGCCAGCCAAACCAAGTCAAAAGGCATCACCTACACTGCACAGCCTGCGTCAGTCTTAGTGCCTGTGGTTTGTCAGAACAGCCTTACTTGCAGGTTGGAAATGTAAACTTTTATATTGAACCTTCACATTTTTCAAATACTGTAGGTTGCTTCATTGTCTTTCCTGTGATTCCCTGTGTTAGGCGTTCTTGGTTGTGTTGATCAGCGGTGGACAAATAGGCTGTAGCAACATACTGTAAAACGAAAATAGGAAGGACTGTCTGAAAAAAAAAATCAGCTGCAATGTTGTGTCTCACAACATATCTAGGTGTTTAGAAGTCTCATATTCAAATGTAAGGCCTGTTTAGGAAGAGATACAGTAGCATCTCTGTGAACCAACAAACATGTTAACCTTCCTGAGCTGAAATATCCTATCTTGTACAGTAGAATTGGAAGATTTCCAACTCAAACTGGCCTTCCTGGGTCATTTTGACTCAGCTCTACCTGAAACAACATCCCCGCACAAGGCAGCACTTTACTCACTTCAGCAAAATTGCAAAGAATTTGGAATAGAAGACAAAATAACTAAAACGTAAGAGATAAGTTCACCCAAGGTTTCTTGACCTGTACCCTCTTTTTTTTCCTTGGGGCAGAAAAAATATGTTTTATTGATCTATTTTTAATTCATTAAAAAACTAGAGTGACTTATGAAAGTGTTTCAGGATTGTACCCAACAGCAGGTTTTTCCCATTAGTCTGGAATAACAGAGTTGCAGCAGCTTAGGTTAAATCCCATTTGGTAGTGACTCATATATGCGAACGTATGCTCTCTCATTGTTGCTCTACCGGGCTAGATATCTAATCGACACATTCACACATTATGAACAGAAGCTGCCTGCTTCAATTATATTTGAATGAATTTGAATGAAAGCACTGCTGTTGTTATAGTTATGGCCTGAGAGAAAAGGTGTTGTCAGCACACTGGCAGCCTGCCGCCTAATTTGTGTTGTTGAGACACAAATCTTTTCCATTCTTTCCACTTTTACTATATGTGAAGACTGTGCTGTGGAATTAAAACTGTTTTCATTCACAGGGGACTCATATTATTTGTCTGTGCGTTTTTATCAGGTAATTTATTAGACTTCATTTCAGGCCTGTGAGCTGTTCAAACAAGTCATCAGTCTGAATCAGTAAGGTAGTAATATAAGGTCATATTTATTGTTCACATTCTGTCATTAGTAGTTTAGCTAAAAATCATAAAGCGGTTTTGATAGAAATCATAAAAGCTTCCACAGGTCTCTATTTGCCTACTACTGACTACAGCCATGCTAACGCACTGAGACACAGCTAAATGCGAACAAAACACTCACAATGACAATGCTAAAACGCTGATGTTCAGTAAGAAGTAATGATGTTTCATTCACCATCCTAGATTTGAATTTATTATTAGCACTAATCAAATTACAACTGAGTCTGGCTGGAATGTCAGCTTTGCAGCCATTCAGTTTAAAACCAAGTTATGGGATAAAATTATAACTTAATGATGACACTAGATGAGAAGTCAAGGATTCATCAGAGTCACCGGACCTGATCCTCCAAGGACCATGAAAGTCATGTCACTCCATCTGGTGCTTGCTGGGATATTTCAGTTGGAGCTGTAGTGACCAACATCACCATCCCTGGAACCACGCCGCTGGTGCAGCTAAAAACGGCGCCCAACACATAATTAACTGTTTGTATTTATAACATGTTTTTCTAGTATTATCATGCCTTGCAGCTGCTTTGTTACAGCCTGATATCCTTGGCATAAGTCTCTGTTTGCCTTAGCCACATAAATCAGTAGGTTACTGCCAAAGGGGCTGCCTGTTAATGATACAGTCTCTTAATTAGATAAAGCCTCTACTCCCAATTTGCCATCTGCCTAAGCAACGGATGAAGCACATACTTGGAGACGCAGAGCCAAAGCTAAGTTGGACTAGACACAGCCAGTACCAGGCAGGTTATGTTTGTCTGGATCTTCCTCTACTCAACAGTAGCTGACACATGAACAGACTAGCAGCATGTTGTTCCGCCTGAACACATGATACTTGAAGTTGCCAGTTTTATAATTTACTTGTTTTTGCATCACTTTGGATGCAACATTTTGTTTTGACTAAGGAAGCAGTAGTGCAATAGTTAGGGCTAAAAATGCAATAATGAGCAGGATTTGCTTCTAAAACTGTGACTTTTTAGTTTAGAGTTCATGTTGATGCTGAAGACAAATTTTGTTTCAGAAGCATATTATACCAAAGGCACTCCTGCACTTCTGCATTGTAGTGTAATGCCCCCAGAACCATAAACAATTGCCCTAGCTCGCTGTTTATGTACATTAAAGTCAGCTCTGGATGAAAACATACAGTAAATGTCTGTAGGGGAGAGAAGTAGATTCAGACAGATGTGCTGAGTCCTGTGGTTGGCAAATTCTCAAACCTGTAGTCGACATTAAAAAAGTCTATTTGTAGTTCCTGAGGAAAACACAGAGGGAAAATGGTATGGCAATCTCTCTTTCTCTCTCTTTCTAACACACACACACACACACACACACACACACACACTGTGTTTTCATGCCTTGTGGGGGTTCTACAT